AGACATCCATAGGACACTGCACCCAAAAAAATCCGGTACATATTTTTCTCAAGTGCGCATGGATCATTCTCCCGAATCGATCACATACTGGGCCACAAGACAAACATCAACAGATACATGAAGATCAAAATCATTCCAACTATCTTCTCCGATCATAAAGGAATCAAGCTAGAAATAAATCATGAAAAGAAAACAAGGAACCCTCCCACTTCATGGAGATTGAAATCCACACTACTGGAAGACCACTGGACAAATGAGGGGATCAAAGAAGAAATTAAAAAATACTTTGAGTTGAATGACAAGGAGGATAGCACTTTCCAGAATGTATGGGATGCAGCACAAACAATAATAAGAGGAAAATATATAGCAAAACAGGCTCACATCAAGAAACAAGAAAGAACTCAAAGAAACAACCTAATCTCACATCTCAAAAAGGTAGAAAAAGAACAAAAAAAAAACCTCTAAAGCCAGTAGAAGAAAGGAAATAATAAAAATCAAAGCAGAAATAAATGAATTGGAAATTTTAAAAAAATCCAAAATATCAATGAAACCAAAAGTTGGTTCTTTGAAAAAAATAAACAAAATAGACAAACCTATAGCCAGGCTCACAAAGAAAAAATGGGAGAAAACACATATAAATAGGATTGCAAATGAAAGAGGAGAAATCACAACAGACTCAGTAGAAATCAAAAGAATAATCAGAGATTACTATGAACACTTATATGCAAACAAATTCAACAACCTAGAAGAGATGGACAAATTCCTAGAACAATATAATCATCCAAAGCTGGACAAAAAAGAAATAGAACACCTAAACAGACCAATTACAAACAGTGAAATTAAGTCAGTAATCAAAGCACTCCCTCAAAACAAAACCCAAGCCCAGATGGCTTCACAAATGAATTCTACCAAACGTTCAGCAGTGAATTAGTGTCTATCTTACACAAACTCTTTCAAAAAATTGAAAAAGAAGGAATAATACCAAATATGTTCTATGAAGCCAACATTACACTAATACCAAAACCTAACAAAGACAACACAATGAAAGAAAATTACAGGCCAATCTCCCTAATGAACACTAATGCAAAAATCCTCAACAAAATCATTGCCAACAATGTATCAAAGGGATAGTATACCACGATCAAGTGGGATTCATCCCAGGGGAGCAAGGATGGTTCGACATACAAAAATTGATCAGTGTAATCCAACACATCAACAAAAAGAAAAACAAAAACCATATGATCATATATGTAGATGCTGAGAAAGCTTTTGACAAAGTCCAACATCCATTTATGATGAAGGCCCTTGAAATTCTCAGGATAGAAGGAACATACCTTAACATGATAAAAGCCATATATGACAAACCCACTGCCAACATTATTCTCAATGGCGAAAGCAGAAGGCCTTTCCTTTAAGATCAGTAACAAGAAACAAGGATGTCCTTTCTCACCACCGCTCTTCAATGTAATACTGGAGGTTCTAGCCAGGGCAATAAGACAAGTGAAAGACACACAAGGAATCCAAATAGGGAAAGAAGTAAAACTATCACTATTTGCAGATGATATGATAGTATACATAGAGAACCCTAAAAACTCCACAGGAAAACTACTCAAAATAATCAACCAGTTCAGTTAACTAGCAGGATACAAAATCAACACAAAAAAATCAATAGCCTTCCTATACACAATCAATCAAAGAAGAAGAAATCAAGAAAACCATCTCTTTTATAATGAAACCAAAAAAAAAATCAAATACTTGGGAATAAACCTAATAAAAGAGGTGAAAGGCCTATACAAAGAAAATTATAAAACACTGTTAAAAGAAATAGAAGAAGACACAAAGAAATGGAAAGATATTTCCTGCTCATGGACTGGAAAAATCAACATTATTAAAATGATCATCCTCCCAAAAGCAATATACAGATTCAGTGCTATTCCAGTAAAAATCCCAATGACATTCTTTAAAGAAATAGAACAAATGCTGATGAAATTCATATGGAACCACAAAAAAACACGAATAGCCAAAGCCCTACTGATGAAAACAAAGGAGAAAGGAGGCATCATCACACTTCCAAACTTCAAGCTATACTACAAAGCCATAATAATTAAAACAGGAGTAGGGAGAGGGGTGAGAGGGATGAAGGGAGGAGCACAGGGGGCTGTGGTGATGGTTCATGGGTGCCTTGGGGTAGGAAATTCTATAGGGACTCAATCTGAGGGGGTGGGGGTAGGAAAAATTGTCTAAAAAATGTAAAAAAAGATAAATGTTAAAATAAAAAAAATTTAAAAAAAAGAAAGTCCTCCATTCAAAGAAGATTCAGAATTTTACTTCTTTCGTTCTACTATTTCCTTCTCTCCAGCTTATTATCTGCCTTATTTCAAAGGGGTCATTCAAAATCTAACAATATACGACAGTATTTGTTGAATATTCATTTTTTAAACATTAATTTTTAAACTTTAGGTAGATGAACTGTTTTCATTATATAATAAAAGTTTTTGTTCAATGTATTAAGTGTGATACATCTAAGGATTTTTACCAGCTATTCTCCTTTAAAGTCTCTTTTCCTTATATTTCTAAGAATTTGGCCATTAACATGTCCTTTGCAGATTTTTTTTCTAAATTATATCTGATTCAGAAATTTCCCTGAGGATTAGAAGAAATCAGAAGGCTATGTTAATATTGTAAAAGATGTTTGGTCACTTATCATAATCTTTCAATCCATTGTTTCTGTTTGTTCCTTGTGAGGACGGAATATGTAATCACTTTATTCTCATTAATATGTCCAATTCATTCCCATATTTTTTATGTTTATATGATAAATGAGCAATTTATCTGTGATTTCTGCTGTGAAAGCACCTCTTATTTATAACTGGCAGATATAAGAGTCAATGAATAATATGAATACAAGGAGTATCAGAGTGTCATCATCCCATCACACATTTACACTGCATTATTTCTAAGATGGTTACATAATGAAAGGCATTGCCAGCAAAATGTTTCTGGAAAGGAAGGAGTTTGCAATGTTCTCTCCCAAATCCATAATTTCCATGTAAACATTAGTTTACACACAATATTTCATATTTTACAAGTTAAATATCAGAGGTTCATTTCTCGCCTATTCAAAAATCAGCCATTTATGGACTTTTCATTATTCTATCATTTTAGACCCTAAGGAAACTCACCAGACCATATTCAAATTTTCCCTCAACTGAAGAAGAAGTTGTCAGTGTAGGCAGCTGACATTTAGTTCAAAGTCCAGATCACTGAGTTCAGGCACATTCAGAAAATTATGAACTTGACAGAGAAATAAGTCCATTTCAACCCTTCTTTGGCCTCTGGAGGTTAGACTATGAAGTCACTTTGGCATAAGCAGAGTGTCTGGTGCTGTGAGTATTGGTGTTCCTGGGCAATACCCTGGGACCAAAACTTGTAATTATATTGATTGTTCCTGCAGAGTATGTCTCTGTTGAGTTGATTTAAATACCCAGTTATCTGTAATATTTCACCTTATTACAAAAATGTATACAACATGGATTAAAACCTTGAAGGTATGACCTAAAACTTGTAGAAAGCATAGACTATAAGCTCATTGACATGTACCTTAGTGAAAACTCGAAACAATAAAATACATGGGAGAAAACAGAGGCAATAATCTTATTGAGATCAGCCTTAGATATAACTCTGGGGATTGGACTCCAACAGGAGAGAAACAATCACAAAAATAAACAAAGGGGACTGCATCAAACTAAAGAGTTTCTGCACAGTGATGGAAACCATCACTAGAAGAAAAAAGATGACCACTAGTGGAAAAATATATTTATAAACTATATAAGACAAGGCATTAATATCTAAAAAATATAATCAGCTTGTACAATTCAATATAAAAAAACAGCTCTATTAAAAATGGAAAGAGGATCTGAATAGGCTCTCTATGCAGATAACAGCCAATAGTCTCATGAAAAGATGTTCAATTATTTTATTGTAGAATAGTTACATCAAAACCACAATCATATCTCATTTCAATTGTGAGAGGCCTTTATCCAGAAGGGCAAGGAAACAGAGGTGTTCAAGAAGAGGCAGAAAAAAGCCAATCTTCATACACTGGTACACTGATGCAACTACCATGGAGAACAAGATGCAGATGTCTCAAAATTAAAAATAGATCTACTTGATGATCCAATAATTCCACACTTGGCTTACATTCAAAGAACATAAAACCAGTTATTTTGAAAGATAGATTCACCTTCATGTTCATTAAAAAACTATTTATACTAGCAAAGAGGCCAAAACAACATAAGTGCATATCAGGGAAATATGACTAAAGAAGATGTGGTGGATACACAAGATGGAAACTATAGGTATAAAATGGTCAAAATTTTGCCATTTGTCACAGCCTCATGAGTCTTAGGTTATTGTGTATGTGTGTCTATATATATATATATATATATATATATATATATACACACACACAAACATAAAACTAATACATAATTATTAGTTTGTGCAGCTTTTCCAGAACTATTTAACCATTGTTGCTGGCCTGAATCCTCAATTTTAATTCTTCCATAAATTTATTTAATTTCCCTCTTCACAATTTATTTTAGCCAGGAGTTTTTCCAATATATTTTGAACTCCTTACCCAAAAATAATGAACAGAATGTCCTCAACAAGAGAGGTCAGATTTTCTCCTTTTGAAAACCTTTCTTAGGGCTGCCATTATGGCTTGATTTCTCAGGCTATAGATCATTGGGTTGACTGTTGGGGGCACAACTGTGTACATAATAGTTAGGAAAAGGTCCAGTGCACTTGGAGAGTCAGAAGGTAGCTTGAGAAACTCAAAGACCCCCGTTAAAGTGAATAAAATGACGACAGCAAGGTGGGGAAGGCAAGTGGAAAAGACCTTAGCTCTGCCCTCAGCAGATGGCATCCTCAGGACAGTAGAGAATATCTTGACGTAGGATACTCCGATGAAGGTGACACAAAGAATTGTCATAAAAGACAGAAAGGCACTGATTCCAATATCGTTGATGTACTCATTAGAACAAGAGAGTATCGTGAGATGAGGGACATCACAGAAGAACTGATGAATGATATGGGAACCACAGAAGTGCATGGAGAAAATTGCAGCTGTGTGCATGGTTCCAGAAATGACCCCACTGATCCAGACACCTAAAATTCCGAGAACACAGGTGTGAACATCCATGATAGTTTCGTAGTGCAGTGGAAGGCAGATGGCCACGTAGCGATCATAAGACATCACTGTGAGCATGGACATCTCAGCGGCAGCACAGAGAACAAAAGCAAAGCACTGCACCATGCATTCCCAGAGGGAAATGAAGCCATTGTGCATGAAAGAGTTGTAAATGGACCTGGGCACAGTCACGGAAATGTAGCACAAATCCAGAAAGGAGAGATGTTTCAGGAAGAAATACATGGGTGACTGCAGACTGTTGTCCATGGAAGTTGCGGTGATAATGAGGATATTTCCAGTTCCCGCCACCATGTATAAGACTAAGAACAGAGAAGCAAGTATGATTTCCTGCTCAGGTTTGGCAGAAAATCCCATCAGAAGAAACCCACTCATAGTGAAATTAGCCATAGTCCTTAATTTCCCAGTGATGGTGACTGCAAGACAAGTTGGGATCCATGAAAGAAAAAAGAAAGTTACTTAACCTACTAACTTACCTGGACTCAAGTTGGTCAAGAAGCCATTTGTGAAAATCACACTGCATCACATGTGTGAAGAATTTCTGTGTACTGAAAATCATGTCAAGAAATTCTAATATGCTTTGATTCATTTATGGAAATATAGCTTAATAAGATTCTAAATATTAGAATGCCCATTTTATCAATGGCAAGGAAAAATAAATGTACATAATAAAATTAGTAAATTTTTTTAAATATATAGTTGTATTAAGAGGGGTATGGAATATTCAATATTCAATGTTCATTTATCTTAAACATTTTTTAGTCCTGTGGACTCATATTAATAAATGTTCTCATCTACCTGTTCTTTTTCATGAATCATTGTACTTAATCATATCCCATCTAGCTATGATGGATTTATAAATGCAATTTAATTTTTTATTTTATATGAGGAAAATCTCTTCATTATCTCCACGTATGTTCTCATTAATTGGAATTAGGAAACACAAAATTGGTAGAACTTATGCAATAATTATCATATATGAATAAAGAGTATCATTCTTGTAAAAGATCATAAAAATTCATTTAAAAATGTTAATTTGTCAAAGGAAATGGAAAAGAACAGAACCTTCACAGTGTATTTTATTGAGAAAATAACACATTTTAGTGAGAAAATAACACATTTAAAATACAAATGAAAAATAATTTACTTGAATTCAAATTAAATAATATAGTGAATAGCTATGAATTGTATTTTTGTACCCAATGTATTCATTAACAGCAAAGGTACAATATTCAGTCTGTTAATTATGAATAAAGACAACTAGTGGTATCATACATCTAATGTAAACCCCAAAAAAATGCAGTGTTATAAATCAATGTTATATCAATAAAATTAATATTAGTTATATCAAATATCATGTTTATTTCATATAAATACAGAAAAACTTTAAATAAGCAAGTATTTGGTGAAAAATGTGCATGCTATGTGGAAAAGAGCAAATTATTTAGCAAAATCTTTGAAACTATATGTTAAACAACTAAATTTATATCTATGTGACATTTTAAATAATAATCTGAATTGCTGATATTTGGAAAACTATGTTCTTTTAAAATTAGTGCTGCACTATTTATAATAGGTAAGATTTGGAAACAACACAAATGCCCCAAAACAGATGACTGGATCAAGAAGGTGTAGTATATGTGCACAATGGAATACTAATCAGCAATCAAAAAAAGATAAACTAATGCCATTCGCAGCAATGTGGATAGGGCTAGAAGGAATTACGCTCAGTGAAATAAGTCAGAAGGAAAAATAAAGATATTGGAAAAGGGGAATCAAATAAAGGATGAGGGAAAAATAATAACAATAAAAAACAAGACAAAATTAATAGGAAACTATAAATCAGGAACATTCTGCAGGGGAGGGAGAGGGAGAAGGATCAGTAGGAGAGAGGGAAGATTATAGGGGACTATTGTGATGGTGCATGGGTGAATTGATAATGGGAATTCTATGGGGACTGTGCCTAAGAAAAGAAAGCAAAAATTGTACAAAAATGAAGAATGATGTAAAATATATACATATTTTTATTACAAATTATATTAGAAATAGAACATACATAGAAAGAGAAGTTCAGAAACTTAAAATAACATAAAATAAATAAAATAAAATTAGTGCTGCAGCAAAAAAATTTAAAATCTTAAATTATAACTGAACGATTTTCAATAGAAAAGACTTGGAACCGATGAGCAAGTACTTTGCACACATCAAGTAAAACTTATTTAAAAATTGATTCAGTGATTGTGTTTTGGAAAATGGGGAGTGTTGGAAGTAGGTTTGTGTGCATTTATGTCTTTGTTTATCACAAATGAATTTTTTGAATTTTTTAAATTAATATCTATTTTACATCATTGTTCATTTTTAAACAATATTTGCTTTCCTCACCTCTCAAGTGTAGTCCGCCTAATTTTTCCTTCCCCAATGCACCCGTGCACTGTCACCTCAGACCTCTGTGCTCCTTCCTCCCTCCCTCTGATCCTGCAGTATGTCTCTGGTTTATAATTGTCTGCTTGTTTAATACCGTTAAATTAAACCGAGTAATGTTATATTTAAAAATATTAAAGAGAGACTTTAAAAGTGATAACTGACAATTCTAGACATTATAATGACACATTTGCTCACCCAGGCATCATCTCTGGCATCTCTGGAGATTGGCACTGAACAGGTGAAGTTTCTGAACTTGTATTTCTATGTATCTGCAGAAGGTGGCTTATTTTTCTTTATGGAACCCAATAAAAATAGTATATTCCTTATGGATAAAAATATTGCCTGGCTTACCCAGAAGTATTTTATTTGGTTTTTCCATAATTTAAATCAACTATTGTTAATAATTTATACAATGGCCATGTAGTGAAATGAAATCTTTAAAATTTTGCTTGTCTTTTCTACCTCTTGTCTTTTCTACTCTATATTTGTGCATGACTTATATGTTAACCCAAAATGTCTGTATGTCTGTGGATGTGTAAAATGATGTTTGTCACTTTATGGATTATAAATATCTAACTAGCATTTAATATGCTGTAACCACAACAGTCTGTATACCAAGAAAAAAGCAGTGGTAAAAAGAGACTTGAAGTGTCTCTTTTGTTGGTTTTTAGGTATTATATCAGGATAATTCTATCTTTCTTTATGAGCTGTTACTTAAAGTAAGAAGATAGAGATGGTCACTTTTTCCTTCTATGAAACTCTGCTGTTCAATGAAAATTCAGAATTTTACAATTTCATTCAACTTTTTCATTCTCTCCAGCTTATTCACTGTCTTATTTCTAAGGGGATATTCAAAATCTAACAACTATATCACAGTGTTTGGTGAATATTCATATTTTTAGGCATTAGTGTTTAAACTTTAGATAGGTATGTAGTGTTTTCAAAAAATAATGAAAGTTTTTGTTCAATGTATTTAGTGTAAACCATCTAATGATTTTTACCAGTTTTTTCTTAAAAGTCTTTTTCACCATATTTCTTTAAAAATGGCCATTAACAAGTCCTTTCCTGAATTTTTCTGAATTTTCTCTACTTCAGAATTTTCACTGAGGATGAGAAGAAATCAGAAGACTACAATAATGCTATAAAAGAAGTTTGATCACTTCATAATATTTTGATCTATAAGGTTTCTTTATCATCTTTAGATGGTGAAAGATGGAATATGTAGTCACTTCATTCTCATTAATATGTTTAAATTCTTCCCATTGTTCATTTATGTACCATATTTGAACAATTTATCTGTGATTTCTGATGTCCTCTTATAAGTGGTAATTATGAGTCAATGAATAATTTTAAGACAAGCACTATCAGAGTGTCATTCCATCACACATTCACACTGCTTTACTTGTAACATGGTTACATGATGAAAGGCATTGCTAAGGAGGTGGGAACTGCACTCCCCAAAATGTTTCTGGAGAGGAAGGAGTTTGCAATGTTCTCTCCCAGTTCATAATTCCCATGTAAATAATCATAGATCGCACGCAGTATTTCATATTTTGCAAGTTAAATATCAGAGGATCATCACTCACCCACTCCAAAATCAGTAATTTACTGGCTTTCATGTTTCTGTGTAATCTATTTTTTTAGAACCTAAGGAAACTCACCAGAGCATATTCAAGAACTCCCCCCCAACAGAGGTAAAGTTGACAATGTGGGCAGCTTACGCTTAGCTCAAAGTCTTGAGCTCTGAGTTCAGCCACATTCAAAAATATCTGAATTTCAGAGAAAATAAGTCCATTTCAACCCTTCTTCGGCCTCTGGAGGTTAGACTATGAAGTCATTTTGGCACAAACAGAATATCTGGTGCTGTGGGTATTGGTGTTCCTGGGCAATACCCTGGGACCAAAACTTGTAATTACATTGATTGTTCCTGCAGAGTATTTCTTTGTTGACTTGATTTAATGATTATACTCAGTTACCTGGAATTTCACCTTATTACAAAAATGTAATGAAAGTAGATTAAAACCTTGAAGGTATGACCTAAAACATGAGGAAAGAAGCATAGGCCCTAAGTTCATTGGTAAGTACCTTAGTGAAAACTTGCAACCATAAAATTTCTTGGCATTAAACAGAGGCAATAGGTTTACTGCCTTCACTTTAAAGATGACTCTGGGAATTGGACTCTAACATCAAAGGAAACAAACACAAAAATAAACAAAAGGGACTGCATCAAAATAAAGAGCTTTTGTACAATCATGGAAACCACCATTAGAAGAAAAAGATGACCACCAATGGAAAAAGATATTGACAAACTATATAAGATCAGGGATTAATATCTAAAAAATATAATCAACTCATACAATCCAATATGCAAAAACAGCTCTATCAAAAATGGAAAGAGGATCTCAGTAGGTTCTATCTGCAGATAACAGTCATTAGTCTCATGAAATTATGTTCAATTATTTTATTGTAGGATAGGTACATCAAAACCACAATCGCATCTCATCTCAAACTTGTGAGAGGCCACTATCCAGAAGACAAGAAGGCAAGGGTGCTGGAGAAGGGGCAGACAAAGGGGCATCTTCATACACTGGCACATTAATGCAGCTCCCATGGGGAAAAAAGATGCAGATTTCTCAAAAAATTAAAAATAGATCTACTGTATGATCCACAATTTCCATTTTTTGTTTACATTCAAAGAATGCAAAACTAGTAGTTTCAAATATAGATTCACCTTTTGTTCATTATAACACTATTTACAACAGCAAAGAGGTAGAAACAACATAAATGCCCTTCAAAGAATGAACACTGAAGATGTGGTATATGCATAGGATAGAGTACTACAGGTATAAAATGGTTGAAAATCTGCCATT